TTGATTGTAGGCCCTATCAAACATTGAAACTTAGTATTGATACAATAATTTCTATGAAGCCACATTATTATGTCAGTAAATTAGATTAAATTTTTAGATCCAAATAATATTATTCAAGAATAGGATAGGTGACGGTCAAAAAACGTCTCTAGGGGGGGCTAAGAACGTCTCTATGGTCACGACCGGGGCTGGAACTTTCAATAGGAGGCAGGAAGAAAAAGATGTCTTCATCAAAGATTAATCTAGTGACTTACCCATATTCTGTATCGTATGTCAATTACAGTCTCTTTGACGTGGTTGGTCTTCAGCAACCAAATTTTTTTTTTTTTACTTTTACACAATAGAGAATTCTGTGAAATCACGTCTTTTAAATTTATAATTTTAGATGCATACAATCACCAATAAACCACAATTACAGTGTTGATTGAGACTAAAACCTCAAATACCGAGATGTTGTATCACTAATGTTCTCCTGTTTTAGATAAAAAAAAATAATCAACGAATTGAAGTTTAATGATTGAGTCTAACCTTTAATAATGCAAAAGTTACAGGTTCAATATTTTCTCTCACTCTTAAGGGTCAACCACCCTTGTTCTTGAACTCAGCTCTCAAGACACGTGTCAGTGCAAACTTGAATAGCCTATAACAAAAAAAACAAAAACAAAACAAGTCAATTCAGTGTTACAAGTCCTCAAGAAAAGGTGCTCTCCAATCAAACGTGAAGGTAAATAACTAGATATGCCATTTCTAGAATATAGATGAACTTCCACCACTTAATCTTTCTTCTAAAATTGCCCCTGCACTATTTATTATTTCACCTCCTATGCAAATTTTGAAAACCCTAAAGTTTGCTCAAATATCGTTGTCTTAGATGGTTGGTTTGGTCTTGCAGAACAATGGAGTGGGCAAAGGGCAAAGGTCAGTCATACATGGCAATAATGTGTTGTTTTAACTTCTACTCTTGCGGAGTGATTGAATCTTAGACTTTCTGTGCAATAATTTACATATGTAGATGAAATAGCAACTTCAATTATTGAAGCTTTGTCCTTCTTTAGGGCGGCTTTTGTGTATATTGCAGTCTATTTATAGCATCATCTAGAAGAAAAAAACCAACCATGCCCTAGTCTAGTAAGAAAGCAACTAAACTGTTAAACCACATATAAAAAGACTTGTTGGGGAGCTTAATCTTTTTCTTAGGGAGATACAACTTCTTGTTGTGGTACTTCTGCAAAGAATTTCTCCTGTAATCGACAAACTTAATCCTTTACAAAGAGATCTTAGGTTACTGTTTGATGTTGGATTCAATTGTTTTGTCTCAGGATTTTTTTGGATGATCACAGTCGACAAATTTAAAGCAAATTGAAGGACAATAAAAAGAAAGATACTTTTATTTATCTTAAAAGGTTATGCGCTATAACAGATTGATGAAACATTCTCTGAAACTAATTATAACTCTAAATCTAGTCAAAACTACTCCTAAGATGTTCAAATCGTAGGTTTTTAATGGTTGATCGTGTCCTTTTCTTATAATTAATGCCTCTTGTATAGGCATTTTCCCATGGACAGTTACTTTAGTTTCTTCCGACAGTTCCCCTCAAATTTCTTCCTTATTTCAATTGTCCCTTTGCACACTCTTGGAGACCATTTGGTGTTAATAATTGTTGTCTTCTTAAATTCCAAGATAACTGTTTCATTTTCTGATTAAATGAATGTCATGTAATAAATCTCTTTGACTGACTTTATTTATTGGACAACTGTCGTTCATCGTCTGTTTGTTAAAAGTATAGAATTTGATTTGAACAAGTATGTTAAATTAGCATCTACTTTAAAAACTTAAGTAATTATAGAAGATGTAACTTTAGTATCTATATTTTAACAAATGATTTGTTTTGATAGTTTCTAAGATTGACAATGCATTGGGTTGAATCATGCCTTATGTGTGATATTTTATTGCAAAATTGGCTTAACCTCATACATGTACAATTGACTAAAGTCACTAAACTTAACATTATAAACTTGAATTTGTGTTATAATCGAGTTTCTATCATATATTAGTGAATTTATTTATACCCATTGAAAACTCAATTCGATGATATAGCTTTTCATGCCTAATCGCAGGCATGCGGTTTTGGGCTATGTATGTGGCATTCTGTTATTTGGTGAAGGCATGGGTACTTACGGATTGTGGACAATGTTTCATAATCAAATAGTATAATATAATATATAACTAATATGTTGCTTGTTATGAGTAAAATTCAAAATTAAACACCAAAACCTTATCATTAAGATTGGACCAGACCAGATTGCTAGGTTGCTGTCGACCTTGATTGACAACACATAAAATAATAAATAATTCCTAACCATTACGCTGATCCACATTATTGCAACACGGAGTGAAAAAACAGGACAGCCTCTCTCTCTCTCTCTCTCTCTCTCTCTCTCTCTCTCTCTCTCTATATATATATATATATATATATATATATGGACAGAACAGAGTAATGGTCATTCAAGCATGCTTGTTGTGTCTCTTTGATGCTCATTATTTTTCATTTTGGTCACCCAAGCTTTTAATGTGTGATATTTTGGTCTAATTAAAATTATAGTTCATAATGCCTTAGAGAAAATGGTTGCGTGCGTCTCTTTGAGAATTGAAGTCATTACAGTGGTGAAAATAAGAAAATAAACACCAAAGTGACATAAATTAAAAACTAAACTATCCTTCAAAATGTAGTCACGTAAGACGTACGTAATCAATTCCGTTAGTCCATCTAAATCATCATTTTTAGTTTGACCATGATTTAATGACCATAATTATATTTCACCACAACCATTAGTTTTAATCATGTTTTTTAATTTTTTGAGTCGTAATTAAAATATTATTTTAAATTAATTTATTGACCGGATTTTATTATTAATATTGAATTGACAGTCTTTTATTAAATGTCGTGATTCACTGCTAATTTAACACCACCAAAAAAATTTATGTCATAAACAATGACTTAACAATATCACTTTTCGAATATGTCAATCGCTCAATGATTACTAATCCCAAAAAACAATTAGTCATTGATAACGGCTGCATTAGTAATTTAATTACACTCATTTTTATAAAAAAAAAATAGACATCATTATTTTGATTAGACTTCAAAGGGAAGTTTGATAGAACATGATTCAAGATTTTTTTTTTTGATAATTTAAAATAGGGGGTAGGGGTCGTGATGCTCTTAATCATGTCTGTTATTTTTTTTGATAATGAATCTAATTAGACGAGTATAGCGTTCAACCATCGAATTTCAATGCGAACTTTAAGACTTATAAATGTCAAATGAAACTGACGTTCAATCTAACACTTATAAATGATTAAAGTTTAGATTAAAGTGACATTTTTGGTTTTAAAAAAAAATGTGATAGTTTCATCATGTTGGTGGGACCATCAGGCAGGGCGTGTAGCTTCTTGGAAAGACCCTTCATGATGTATGTTGGTCCATACCCCATCAATATCATAGATGATTTGTAGTGACTAAGAAAATAATGAAGGACGAGTGGCGTGGCCCATGGGAGATTTTTCCTCATTATTCATTAGAATAAAGTTAACCATACCCAATCATGATAACTTGTTGATGAAGTAAAATAATAATACAAATGTATACTTTCATACCTAAAAGTGATGCATAAAATAAGCAGCAAAACCTAAAATATTTTAAGATCCATTTTAGACTCTACGAGACTTGGCTGTCTATAATAGTATTTAACACAATCTGGTAATTCCAAAGATGACACCTATATAAAACTTTTAAAATATAGTATCTAATCATAATAAATTTATATCGATTGGCCAAACATTCATTATAAAAAAGTTGACATGAATTCATCATATATTAATTTAATATAAACTAAATAAAATTTTTTAAAAAAAATAATATATATATATAATATATATATATATATATATATAAGTATGAATTTAATATGAAATGATTTAGTACCAACACTAATGAGTTTCTTTTTTTAGGTAAGAATTTAGAATTGAATTAAATCAAAAGGGTTTGGGTGGGTTAATGGGTTATGGTCCACCTAAGTAGAAGGTCCTCCTCACCTTCATGGAAGTATCATGAATCATGATTAGTTTTTGAAGAAAAAATAAAAGTTGAGGTAAGAGACTAGGTGGGAAAGGAAAGACCCACCACGTGGGGTGTGACCCACCGGTCCTCTAAAAGTTGGAGCATCTAACAGGGCCATGAACCTATGACCCTAAAACCTGTTTTCTCTCTATTACACATTCTTTTCTATATCTACACGCCTCTCACCACCCTCCTACCGTGTTTCTCTCCCTAATGAGCAATACAACGACAGTGCAGACAGGTACAGGTGAGCCAACCCCTCCCTCACTCTCATATAACCTCCAACTGATTCATCATTATCCTTCTCTTTTTGTTTTTGGTAAAAGCCCACCATAAATAATTCCCATGTGCCATCCCCTTCCTTTATGAAGCAATATTACTGGAATTTAAGATCTTCATCTAACTTTTTGATATAATAATAATATTCTTATTATAATTATAACCGTTAATTGTATTTGTTAGAAATATACACATTATTAGGTTAATATATTAAGTTAGATCTTTTAATCCCAATAATATATATACAGGATTAAGTAATCTATCTACCTTGTATGTAGATGACTCGGGAAATTCAAGTTTCATATTCATATATAGATAAGCAAAACAACCCAAAATCAATAAAACCCATTTCTTAGAAAAGCATATAGGTACAGTACTATCGATGTCATAGATTTATTTTAAAAAAATAGTTTCTCTGTTTACATAGTAAATCAGCGTATATGCAACGCTGGTTAAATCACAAGGTAACAAGAATTTCGTAAATTAGACTGATCTTTGTAGGCTAAGCATCCGAACATAGAGTACCCAAATCATCACCACAACAATTACCAAACAGATGAACAATAAGAAAGCCAAAAGAATACGTAAAAGGAAAAAAGATGGTAATTAAAAAGAACATCTTCATTAACATATACTTCTTAATCATTTACATACAAAAATATATATATATATATATATATAGATGAGGAGAAAATTGATCAGTAATTTCTATTTTTCTACAAATTAACCTTTCATTACAAGCCCCTTGCACTAAAAACAGTAGGGTTGTGGATGGGTCTACACTCCCTTATATATGTATATCACTAATACTAAAAATCAACAAGCAGCTGATGGATTAGTGAAGGGATTGTAGAAGTGAGGTTTTGGAGCTATGGTAAATGGGCTCTTAGAGTTATTTTCTCCGATCCTTTCGCACGACGGACACATGGTGAGGGTCGCCGCCGGCAGCTGCATGTATAAGGGTTGGGCAAGTTTTAGTGCTTTCAGTTCTTGTAGCTCCTTCTGTAATCTTCTGTTCTCATCTGTTAGAGTCTCACAGCATTTCTTCAAGAACTCACAGTCCACTTCGGTTTGCTTCAGCTTTGTCCTATAAATAATTAACAACACAAACATGTTTAGATTGACGTAAAAAAAAAAAAGGTTAAATAAGAAAAACACCTTTAACAAGAAACTGGTATACAAACAAAACTCCCCAAAACAAAGAAGGACTCAGTGGACGCGATTCCCATCAATAATTTAGAAATAGTGAGATACTCGTAGTTTTATTTACTTGCAAAAAAACTATGTACGCGATTTCAACCCTTTCCTACAGACAAATTCAAAATACAATCCGAAACTCATTAGGTATGCCAATTAGCACTTCTGCTTAAAATTTTGTACTACAAATCCTTTCTTATTAAAATTATTTTTTTACGAGATTTTTGATTAATTCTTTGGCGGTGTTAATGAGTAGAGGATAAGAACCTGGCTCTCCTGTTCTGGAACCAAACTTCAACTTGTCGTGGCCTTAGCTTTAGCTCCCTGGCTAATTCTTGCTTTTGTTTCTGATAATTCAAGAACAATCGATTTTTTAGTTTTAATTTTTGAAGCAAATAAACGGCTATCCATCAAAACGAAGAACATAGATGAATTCAGAGAGGGAGCGAGAGAGAGAGAGAGAGAGATTTACAGGATTAAGAGTGCTGTGTTGTTTGAAGCTTTCTTCAAGAAGGGCAGATTGTGCTTTGGTGAGTCTAAGTTTCTTCCTTCCATTAGGACCATCATCATCTTCATCACTTACTCTTGAGAAATTTCTCTCTATCTCTCCCTCTTCACTGCCCAGCTCTCTCTCCCTCTTTACACTGACGTTAGAGAACGATGAAGCAGCACTGTCTTGACGATATAAATCTGCAGACTGACCATTACAAGCCTTATTCGCATCAATCTTCTTAGCTACCTGATCATAAATCTCGCCGGAGAGACTCAAAGTCAGTGATGGCTCAAAACTTAAGGCAGTCTTTGCCATCTGATCAACCTTTAAACACGGTTTCTTCGGATCATCTGTCTTCAAATGGGAACTTTTTACCTTTGATGACAAACCTAAACCTAAAACAAGGCCTGTGTTACAAATATCATCAAAACCCATTTACGAATGATTAAAAAGAGGGAACTTTTCTGGTGAGCAATGGAGAAAAATAGAGAGAGGGTTGTGGTATATTTGAAGACTGGTTGGTTTGTTTGTTGAAAGGTATGGAGTGAAAGAGTCTCGGGGGAGGAATGAAGAATAAGAAGGGGAGAGAATGAAAGGAGACTTTGTGGGCTTATTTGGGTGGGTGGGTGGCTATCTATCTATGATTAATAATCAAAGGAATGAATGAGTACAGGAACGAATATGGTGTGGAGGAATTATGAAAAGTCCCTCTATCTCTCTTTACATAGGTTGACCAATTGAACCCCACTACTGTCATCTCCATTATTTCCAACCAACAAACCAGGAAACTACCTCTCTCTCTCTCTCTCTCTCTCTCTGAGAGAAGTAGAATCAATGTACAGAAGAGTACGTGGATTCACATGGCAGTGGGAAAAACACCAAGAGAATGATTCGTCCGCCACTCACCACCCATTAACATACCAAATATCACTCTTTGAACCGCTACCTTTTTACCTTTATTTTTTTTTCCTTCGACGATTCTTATGTGTTTGGTTTTACTTTATTATCCACATACATGTACCAATTATTAGACAACTTGCTTTGCATAGCTTGTGGGAAAGCAGACATGAACAGAACATTATGCCCTTTTTAACTTTCTCTTGCTCTTTCCACAACAGTATTAGGTGGCCCATATTATTGCCCTCATCTTAGATGGAAATCAACCAATTTAGATATATCTTTTTTTTTTGGGTAAGTAAAATTTTAGATATATCAATTAAGCTGTTGCTTGGCAATCTTGACCAGAGAGATTCTTAATAGGGTTAGTTTTTCCCACAATGGAACACACAGCATGAATTGTCTCTCACTCCATGCTTGGTTAAATAAATCTAAATTCTCATAATGCATTTTTCTTCAATTTCACTCAATAATCAATCATCCACCATGTATGAGTAGAAGATCCATTTGTAAAAATCACGTCCCAATCATATTTACTCAAGGAAATATGAATAAAAAATGTATTAAAGTGGATTTGACTCCCCATTTAATTAGCTATAGATCAGCTAATGTGACTTGGCTACGGATTCTATAATGGAGGGTGGTGATAATTCCATTATGAATGTGGGAAGATGAGATAGAGATGGTCACCATCTAGAGGTGCATGATGCATGGCTTCATTGGTTTTGTTTGTATTGTGGGAAAGAAGGAAAAAAAAAAAAAAGGAAAAATAAAAGTAGGTAGAAGACACCATTGAAGTTTCAAAGAGTTATAATGGTGCCATGGAATATGATTCATCAACAAGAATCAAGATCTTTGCTTAACCAGAAAGTTGATGTGGATTTTATGGGGCCTACTAATCTGTACATTTATTTACACATTCAATAATGCATTGTCGGCTATGCTGATGAGAAGTTAGGTCACCAAGAAAACAGGATAAATCTAAATTATTGGAAGGATTACTAGCAACAGCGTGCTCTTTTCCTGGTTAGTATTAAATTTTGGGTAGTATTAAGTTATGGGTTATGTTTGAATTGTTCCCCTTAACAACATGGATCTTCCCAATCATCGATCGGAAGGGTGTGGTGCATCTAGCTTTCTAGGACCTCCATAAAATCTTGATTCCTACTATATAAGATGTTAAAATATAACACGATTAATTAACATAATATGAACACGACATGAAGTTTGAAGGTTTGAGTCTTTTTTAAGTCACTCGTTTCGTAAACAAATAGACCCGATCTGATACGATTAATAAATAAATCGGGTAAATTAGTTTGACCATTTTTGATAAGATTAATACTTTTGAATTAAAAGATGCATTACTTAGGAGAAAATTCAGAAGGATTTCCCACCCATGAAGTCATCTTAGATTAGTAAATTGGTTAGACCATTTTTGGCTTTAGTATTCCTCAGGTAGGCAAACCATAACACAGACCAATTAACACAGTGAAGAGCAAGAAATAATCATATTAAACCTTTACATTGAAGCATGTAATGGCACACAGAATCAAAATAAATAGAATATGATCTTCATATTCTATATTCTCATAAGAAAAAGATATAGTTTTGAATCAAACAGAATTGATTCTCAAGTCGTATTGATTCGTGCCCACTCGCAATGATCAAAAGTCTGATTCTTTTTCGTATTTGACCCTGTGGGCTGTGGCTAGCTAGCTAGCTGTATACTTATACTCTTATGTCATTCAATGTATAATGTCAAACTATATATATTATTCTCTCTTTAATATTTTCTAGTGCTTTCGGTCCTAGATTGTGCCAACAAGATTAAGACAAGCCCTTTTTGAATGATTATTACGTTGATTAAATTATATAATTATGGTTAAATATGCATAATTAGATTTTTAAAATCATTATTACCCCATAGGTTTCGTCTTGAATGCACGCGTGAGTGGCAACAGCAACTTGAGAGACATTTGATTTTGACAGGATGATATATTATGTTAGAAACTATATCACGCCTCAAATACATTTTCTTTCTGTTTTAAAAAAAAAAACATATTTTTTCTTAATTTTTTTTATTGCTTGATCACCCACTATACTAACTCGGCTTAGCTGAGTTAACTACGTTAGTTTCTTCTAGATTCTATTAATCTAGAGGTCAAGAAGTCAATCCCAAACAAATTTTTTTTTACGTATTCTCTTCGAGGGTTTTTTAACGTCTTTTTCTTTTTTTTTTCAGATTTCTCTAATGCTCTTTATGTTTATGTGAATATTTCTTTTTATGCTACAAATGATTTTCTCATGACTTGACTTTTAAAAAATTATCAAGATTCGAACTAATTTGAATTTACATTCTGTCTTTGTTATCATTTGAGTTATACTTTAAAGTTATATGATGCATAATCAATTGATATAAATTGTACTATATTCAAAATAGTATGTGGTATTCGCCCTGACTTACACTACATTGAAATGATTGGGAATAATTAACAATCCATCAGAGTAATCACCCCTTTAAACCAATCACACATCCAATCTCATCCCTATAATAAAAGTGATTTAAACAAACCATTAAAAGCATGGCCCAAGTGGGTGGCTTTTTTGCCATCACCAAAGCCTTATCTGTCGTGTGAACAAACACCCTCAATCAGTGGTCCTCATAATAGGATCAGGAGGTTTCGTGTGTGGATGGGAGAGAGATAGAGATAGAGATAGAGATAGAGAAAGGGAGGGGCCGGGGGGGGGGACAAGTAGGACCTACCAATGATTTTGTATGATGGGCATTTGATTCCGTGGGGGATTGATGACTATGGAGCGTAGAAATTGGCCATGATGGGAGGGTAGAAGTTTGAAGGATAAGGTTTGTTTGACGTCCTTTGTTAGTTCCTGCTTTTACGGCCAGCCGACCAATGTTGCTCACAGTGGTTAGTGTTCATATAATTTTTGTCATTTGGGTTTTCACTTTGTCCACTGCATGTTGCTTATCCTACGCTGCCCATGAACAGTGTTTATGTATATATTGATACGACATACAAGTATAATATAATATAATATAGTTAGATTCATACATTAAAGTCTCAAAAAATAGAATATGAACATGGTCAAGATATGTTTATGATAAAAATATATTTTTAGTTTGCTATTTATTATTTGATAATCTAAAAATAATAACTTCTGAAAAATTATTTAATAGCAAATCGAAAATAACTAGTTTTGCATAAAATATGTCTTGAATGCTCATTTTTCGAAATGTTTCTAAGTATGTATAGAAGGAAAAAAAATTATGTTTGACAGTATCAATACTGTGCACAATGATTTTTGCACAATATAGATAAATGACATATCTCTCCCGCGTTGAACTCGTATTCGTCTAGAAAGTCGATGATCCCAAGACAAAGGAAGAGAATATATGGCCAGAGAGGCCTAAGAAGTGGTGATGAATTATTTCAGGAATTGTTTGACCGGTTCCGGTGAGCTGTAAGGGGTTCCCTGGAATACAGAAAACAAATTAGAAGGACACCAGAGTATTTTTCGATGTATCCCTTAGACGATCAAGTCAATTTTTTGAGAAAGAGAAAGAAGAAAACACTATATGGCTCTTAAGGAATGATTTTACGTATCTTTGCAATGTATTTTTGAAGACTATTTATATCTTCAAAGACTCATCAATGCTGGAAGTCTAAGCAGTAGGTAGCCTTCAGAGATGGGATAGTGTGCCTCCTATTTTGTGTGAGGAATGTCCTAGTATTAATTGCTCGAGCTCTTGAGCAATTAATACTCTTTTTTCAATGTAAAGACTTTAAATGCAAGAGTCCAGGACATTTAATACTCTCTATCCTCAGTTTCTCAAGTCACTATAAATGTCACATCATTTGAGGATTTATTAAATGTTTGCCTAGAGTAATCGCATATCAGCAGAGATAGGTCTATTTTTTTACCCTTTATCCTGTACTTTATGTCATGCGTCTGATTCCATCTGGTTGAGTGTTCAGTTTATTTTGTCATTCTGACTCCATTGAGCAGAGTGTCATCATAGTTCCTAGTCTAACTTAAGTTATTCAATTGTCAGTAACTAGCCTTCCCAGAAATCGAAAACTGGTATTTGAGGGATCAAAGTGTGAATACCCTTGGGACCGAGGACAATTGGCTCGCCCCCGGTGTGGGGGTATCTCAGAGTCGAGGAAACACGCCTCGGAGGCAATGAACATACCAATCAGAACAGGGGGTCTTAGGGCCGAGGACACGTGGCCTCGACAGAGGCAAGAAAAGTCTCTCAGCGCCGAGAACACGTGTCATTGATCTAACACTCTTCTAGAAGTATCCCATCAAATATGTATCATATCTTATGTATTTGGACCAAAGCTTTGCGCTTAATTCATATCTCTAAACAAAAAACATCCACTTGATATTTAATGAGATGCCCCCTTGTATTTCTCAAACATTTTCTAAAGTTGTCTTTTGTGCAACGCAGGGACATATGCATCAGCATCTTCTCACCGTCGTATAAAGGAAAATAAAATAAACCAGTTTTTATTCAAAAACAAAAACAATTCACCAGTGAAAAGGAAAAAAGGGAAAAGAAAAAGAAAAGAAAATAAAGTGCTCGTACAATAATGTAAAAGGGGTGTATAAAGAATATAAGAAAACAGTTTGTTCTCTAGTTGATAAGAGAAAGTTGTGATGATGAGAGAGAGAGAGATGAGAATAATATATGTTGGAAGAGAATGGTTTGGCAGTGACTATAAGACAATCGTCCAAGTCAGAGAAAGATATATCTGGTTTGATTTTTGCAAGAGGGGAAGCATCATCATATGCACCGACTTTCATTAAAGCATATTAAAGCTTTACCTTTGGCCCACTCTCACCCTCTTTCTTCGTGTTCTTTGTGAGACTTTTTCTTGGATGAGGCTTTCAAATAGAAGCATCATTGCTTGCGTCTAAAAGTAGAGAAAAGTGGGCCCCCCAAACCCCACCCCACCCCCACCTGGTAACTGATTTCTTGCCGTCAAGAATAGTTTAAGTAATAATAGATCTAAATTATATTTTTAGACGTTTGAAATTTAAATTTTAATAATTTTTTATATTCAGGATACAAGGAATTTATCTTTCATAAATACTCTAGTCCTGACATGGATAATCTATTTTTAACTAGTCAGAGAGAGAATTAGTCGAACTGCATGTAAATTAGTCCGAATATGCTTGATCGTTGAACCAAAAACAAAACAGATTTTTAGCACGGTAATTTTAAATATGATTTGAAAGTTTAACAAAAAATTAATACCCAATTAGAAAATTCATATTTAACTTTAATGAACTAGAAAGTTAATTGTGTGGGTGCAATTTTTTTTTTTTACCTGAAATTATATACCTTCAATTTTCTCGTAGAATTTGGATTACAATGAGTTATAATTATTGCCTTAGCTCAATTAGTGAGTTTGAGACCCGCTTTTCGTATCCCTAAAATAAATAAATTGATACAAACTCAATTAAATATGCTATGTACACACCTATCTATAGACATTTTTAAGAGGGTTAAGTACAACTCAATTTTTGGCACGATATAATACAAAATAAACAGGGAATATAATATGGTCCTTTTTCACGCTACCGACTTTGAATCATCTAGAGGGAGAGCGAAAGAGCATGTGGGAGGCCCCAGAGGAAGCAACTAGGAAGGGTACAAGTAGGAGGGAGCATAGCCAAATTTGACTTGGTAGTTAGGGGAATGGGGAAAATACAGTTGAAGGCATGCCATGCCGGCTCAAATTGTGGCACAAATTAATGGTGAATGGGTCCCTCCTCCCCAGGGTCCAACCATTTGAAGGGTCTTGCACAAATGGGATTGGCCGGGCCACACTCCTAGTGCGACCGATCTTTGACGAGCACAATAGCATGTTGCAGCATCGCACAATAATCCATTATATAATAATTAATTTCAGAGTGCAACCACTATAGTACTGATCAACTATAAAAACATGCTAGATATAAAATTATTTATTTTATTTATTATTTCCACAGCTATAGTCACAAAATTAAAGCAAAATCTAAGACCCAAAATCATTTAAAAGAATGGTACTGAATTATTATTTTTTCAATGTTAAATACTTATCATAAATAATCGAGGCCAAAACCACTGCATAGACACAATACAATATCTCACTCTCGGAGATGCCCTTTAGTTTATTTGTTTTTGGTTTAATATGATATCGATAGCAATAACCATTTCTTTTAATTTGTCAATCTCCGATTATAATTTCTTGTTGACCACTCTCTATAGGAACCAAGTTATCCACCGCTTTTAACCCGAGGTCAAGATGGGGGGTCTATAGTTTATATAGTAATCCATCTTATCATGGCAGATAAGCTACCCAATTTAGGCATAAAAAAGAGAGGGAAGAGACAACATTTGACTCTTAATGGGCCCGAAATTTAGTTAATCATTAATTAGTATCTTTAGACTAATAGTAAAGGTGGGACTTCGTGGGTGTTATGTATAAATTTGCTTGCAACCACATCGTTTGAGGTGGGGTTGGATGCCATCTAGATTGGGGTGGCCATGGGCTGGGCGGCCAATCCAAAGTCCAGTCCATAAAATCAAGGCTTGGACTTGAACATTTTCCTATAAAATGGGTTCATACTAGATATTTTGGCCCAATCAAGTTGTAGGCCAGCATGGTCGAGAACATTTTCGACAACTCAACTGGTTTGGCTGGTCCCTATATAACCGGTAATATAAATATATATATATATATATATTGAATTATATTAGCATACAAACTGTTTCGTAAATGTAATCTAATCTCCCAAAAAATAAAAAAAAACCCATTCAACCAGCTCCCTAATGCCCTTGTTTAAATTTTGGGTACTTTAGAAACTGGTATATTTTATAAGACTTATCTATACTATTTTAAAAAGTTATTATATATGAAAAATATTTTATTACTAATTTTATCCTCTAATATTTTATTATGTCATCCATGTCCTCTGCTTCCCAGGCGTTAACCTGTCTCCCGCTTTTCCCATGTCACTCTCTTCCTATTTTCTCTCTCTCTGTCTTCTCTCTTTTTCTCCCTATTTCCTCTATCACATTCACATAGCCGTTACACTCTCTCCCTCAAACAAAAAACAGCACAACATTGGCGGAAGCGGTGGCGGCAATTAGGGATTTGGCTTGGGTTATTCGATCCAGCGAGGCCACTACGATGATGGAGCTCAAGAAAGCTTCCGATTCCGTCAAAGTATGTGCCTTTTCTAATTAGCCATCGTAAAATGGTTAAATCTGTTTGTATTCGCTTTTCGTACATTTTATATCGTTAGGTATTCATATCGTTGAATGAATTGCCACAACAAAAGCATTTCTCTTAGTTTGTATAATTTTGAACTGTCTTTTTAATTGAACTGAATACTATTCCTATGTATTCCTGCAAATTCATTCTCTTGTAGTGCTGATTGTCATTCTGGCTTGAATTCGAAATTGCTTATTTACAGAACGTAGCCTATATAATGAATCCAAATGCCAACAAGTTAAACGAATATATCAGATATTGCAGACCAGTCACTCTGTTTAAACATTGGAATGAATAAGAAGTAAGTGATTTTGTTCAACAAGGACCACAAGAAATTTGAAGTGTACTTGATTTCAGTTATTGAAAAGACTTGATAGCATTATAAAATAATTGTTTTGTCGTAGATATTAGCCAGAGTGATTGATTCTTGCTTTAAAAACCTTACTTGTGTGTGGTTTCTGCCCAGAGGTGGCGAGTTGAACTATTCAAAGAATTCCTTGTTCATAACTTTGCATGACATGGACAATACTTCAATTTGTCATTTCGTATAGCATTTGGCTGCGTGTCTTATTTTTATTTAATGTGGTGACCAATTTGATTGTAATTTGGAATTTTTTATTCTGCAATAAGTGTATAAAGGAAGATGTTTAGTAATGTCAATCAGGGAATCCTTCAACAAGCAGCGGGGGTAGCAATGATTGGAGTATGGAACAAAGCCAAATTTTTTACACAAGTTATAGATGATGATTATGACTTACAGTTGCGGCAATTTATTCTTATTAATAATCTACCAAAACAAGGACCAAGGCTTTGAATCTTAGGTTTTGTAAGGAAGATTTTTCATTGTAAATTATGATTGTCATCTAACACCCATGTGTATTGCAGTCATGGGACACAACCTCCATCTCTTTGGCAGCTGGCTGCGATCTGTTCATGCACTACGTAACAAGAACTTCAGCTCTGGAATATGAGGACTTTAATTTGGCTAAGTCTCGCTTTCTTGAACGTTCAGAGAAATGTGGGGAGATATCTTATAAGGTAACAAGCTGATTATGGCTGTATCAGCTCACTGTTTCAGTAATGTGTCAATTTGCACTAATCAACCGTTCTAAATGTCGTATTACCATGAAAAGCTATTGACCAAGTCTGTATTGCAGCTCGCAAAATCATTGCCATGCTTGGTCAAGATTTTATTTTTGACAGTTGTACCATTTTGGTGCATGGTTTCTCTCGAGTTTTATGCACAGGTTTGTGTTCAGCATCCCAGTGTTTGCATTTGATTATCTCTTACTGGAGTGAGTCAATTTCAGTTCCATGAACAAGTAAGTGATCACTTGGTTTTGGATTTTATGGACTAGAGATTTGAGCCTTTCTTTTGGGCCTTCCCTCCAAGATAGATGTATGCGTAGTTTTCTTTCAGTTATTAATCCATAGTTAGAGAAAAAAGCAAGCTTTACTCTTTTTTTTGGTCAGACCATCCGGTATCCGAAAGTCATTTTGGGCTCCGACTAATCCAGATTCGAGCCGGGTAGGACCACAAGGGCGACAAAGCTCTCCCTACCGAACGCAGCTGCGTTCCCAAGACTCGAACTCGAGACCTTGGTTAAGATAGAACAGTCCCTCACCAACTGATCTAACGCTCGGTGGTAGCTTTACTCTTTTTAAGATATAGCTATTTGTTCTGGAATAGGAAAAACACAACATTCAATGTCTTTTTTTTTTTTTTTTTTTTCTCAGTATTGTTTGTTGGTAAAAATAGGCCAAAAAATTATGTGAAGTCCAACCCCGCCCAACATACACCTTTATTTTCCTGATAAACCAAAAATAAATAAATTTAACATATGCATAAAATAATCACTCATTCTAAACATAATATGACACGTTGTAATCATAAAATTCTAATACTGCATTACAAAGATCTGTAATAGGCCAACATATTCCATGTGGAAGAACTATCTGGATGAAATTTGTTTTTTAATCTTTGAATATATTATAGTGCCATTAAATATCCCCTTTCTTATATTCGGATTTAACCATACAATCAAAAGTTGAATGTATGGCAGACTAACATTTTATATGGGATAAGTTTCGTCTGAGTTAGTATTAGTAATCACTACCAAACAAATGATTCTTATAGCTAAATTAGAAACTATAATAGAGATAGAACATTGCTATGTAGTATGTGCTAAAAGAATCAAAATCTCACATTTCTTTTTAAATCAACATTTGTTATGCCACAAGTTGATTAGTACAATGAAAACATATATACTTGTAAGTCATATTCCATACAATTATAGGTTGAACATAAATGAATTATGGTTTTTCAAATAATGTGCATTTTTGCTTTACTATTAAGTATTAAAAATGACTAAACTTCAAACAAATTGGTTCCTCAATGAATTTTGAGACATCAATCAGTACTTCTTTATGGATCGTCAATACCAACGGGTGCTCATACATTCTATTTTCTTGACAATCCATAGCATTTGACAGTTTTAACAATGAGTTGTGGTGTTGCCATCCATTGGCGATGGTTCTATAATTTGATGACATTCTCATTTAGGTCTGAGTGTGACTTCTTCATCAGTATTATTTGTCTTCATACTCTATACAGAAACGATAGCAACTGTCAGAATCGCACAGAGTGACAGTTCTATGTTGCCTATATTCTTCTTCTTTCAATTAGTCAAAAATGGCCAATGTGTTACCATGAAGTTCAAAATTGCATGCTGTAAACTGCAGAGGGAAGGCCAGACAGGACAGGATTACGATTGTCCAATGAGCTAGCAAAGCTTGATGTTCTTGTGAAGCTCTTAATAGACTCTGCTGTGGCATATAATATGGATGAAGTAGACATGATATTTGTTGGGGCGGATGGAGTGGTGGAAAGCGGAGGTATAATTAACATGATGGGGACTTATCAAATAGCATTGGTGGCTAAAAGCAAGAACAGACTGGTTTATGTGGCTGCTAAAAGTTATAAGGTATGTGAAAACAAATCTCGAGGAGCCTGATTGAATTGCTTTTGCTGTGCCCAGCTTGGACAAACAGTTTGACTAAGACACACTTAAAATTGGATTATAGTAGATATTGTACTTTTATTAATTAATTTTCACTGAGATCATAAATTGATGTTCGTCGGTGTTTCAGTTTGCTCGTCTCTATCCATTGGACCAAAAAGACATGGTCCCTGCCTTGCGCCCAATCGATTTTGGGGTACCCATCCCATTTAAGGTCGAAGTTGAAACATCAGCTCAGGAATATACACCTCCACAATATCTTACCCTACTCTTTACAGATCTGGGCGTCCGAACACTATCAGTAGTAAGTGATGAGCTAATCCAGCTATACTTATAGCCATGGTTCTGTCTAAATTTATTGACAAGTTGAATGTACGTAAAACGAACATATTCTCACTGTCTAAAATGAATATGTACCTATAACCTTTCCATGTGTTCGTTTAATACCATGCTTTCTTTTGTCATGCAAATGAATAATACCATCAATTCCTCTGTTCTGTTTTTTTAATTCTACTTGTAAATTCAATAATAAAAATAATGGCCCAAATCTGTTAATATTTCTTCACCAGGAACCGTCTGGACCAGTTTTGGTCATATCATCACTGCCATGATTGGAGCTGGTGTCCTCTCTTTCTCGCATCAAGCACTGCACAACTGGGTTGGATTGCCTGACCAGTTGCTTTGCTTTGTTTTGCAGTTGTCACCTACATATCGGCGTCACTCATATCGGACTGTTAGAGGTCACCTGACCCTATGACTGGAACACAAAACCCCTCTTACATGGATGCTGTTAGAGGGAGTTTACTGCAACTATATGGCTTGAATGATTTATTTGCCCGAAAAATAAAAAATTTCAGGACCTTTGATGGAAGTTCTTGGTATTGAAGTTGATACCAGCCCTAGAATCATAGTTGCAATCTGGCATTATGTCAAGGCTAGGAAATTGCAGAACACAGACGACCCTTCGTATTTTAATTGCGATCCACCACTTCAGAAAATATTTGGACAAGGAAAGATAAAATTCACTATGGTGTCATAGAAGATATCACATCATCTATCTCCATCGCAACCCATTCACTTGGACCACAAGATCAAGCTTTCAGGGAGTAGTCCTGCTGGAACGGCATGCTATGATATCTTGGTGGATGTGCCCTTCCCTATACAGAAGGAATTCAATGCTTTGCTCGCTGACACAGAGAAAACCATAGAGATTGATGCTTGTGATGAAGACATTTGCACTGCCATAAGGAAGATCCATGAGCATCGCAGGAGATAGGCATTCTTTCTTGGATTCAGCCAATCACCAGTGGAATTTATCAATACTTTGATTGAATCTCAAGGCAGAGATCTGAAGCTTGTAGCAAGGGAAGCAAGTCGTAGTGCTGAGAAAGAGCGTCGATTAAATTTCTACAGCCAACTATGGTAAGCTTATACACTCCTTGTTACTATAAACATTGTGCAAACACCACTTCTGAATGTTATTAAAAATTCACATTCAAAATAATTCTTGTTTGTAGTTTAGTTGATGAGAAGTTTGCCACCTTACTATGGAAACTAACAATCAAAAATAAATTTTCTTATTTGGCAAATATGCTTAATGGCTCAAGTAGATTGCTTCAAATGAATGGATACAATCATTGTTAGTGTCAACTTTAAAACAATATTGTTCTGTTGCAATAGTAAGATGACTGCCATGAGGCTTATCTTATGAATACTCCAGATGTCACATGCCAATTCCATGCTTTTGTGATTACAAATAACCCAAATTTAGACCATTTGATTATAACTTGAATAGTAATGAATTGACTTTGTCTGAGCTTTTATTCATCATTTGTGATTGCACTCATAATCTAATCCCATAACTTTTTAGTTTGATCATCGAAATGTCTTATTAGCTACATGATTAAGGACTGTCAATGGTATATACTGGACACGTGAGCCAGGGTGGTTTCAATGGTCCACAACCAGATGATCCAATGTATATATGAGCTATAAAGCGTCAGAAGAGTCCAATGCTCAAACAAGTTTACAAAAATCACTACTATGAAAGATACACTCAAAATGGTCTACGTGCAACGCACGTGTGCATCAACTAGTTAGAATAAAAGTGCATTTAAAAAAAGAACCTGCATAAAAGTTCACTTTGAATGAAAATGACTGTAATTCCTTTTGATAACCAGGGGCGGCTCAAGTCAATTTAAGACATAAAACGAAAACATTAAATTGAGATTTTTTTATTTTTAGTCTTATTTTTTTAAAAAAATTAATTTATTTTTAATTTTCTTTGTAAGAGGGAGACAAAAAAAAGATGTATTAATATTGTCAAGAAAAAGATTTCAACTTTTGTTTTTGTTTTTTTATCATAAAGATGGAGAGAGTGTTTAATTTCAACTTTTATTTTTTTAATTTTTTTTACAGAAGAGTGAGAGAGAATGAGTGAGAGTAAATATGAATTGATTTTTGTGTATTTTTTATTGTAAAAATTGTAAGTGAGTTTCCCTAGATATACTTGTTTGAAGATAAGTCCTGCAAGGAAACTTATAAGAGACTAAATTCACATTTAAAATTATATGTAATGATTTAAGTCCATTTTTTTTTTAATCTCAAAAATACCCTTGCTTGAAAGGAAGTTAATCTTTTCTCTCTCATATCTATCTATATCCATATATAGGTCAAGAGTTTGATTAACATTAAAATTTTTCCTCTCCTATATCTATCTATATCCATATATAGGTTAAGAGTTTGATTAATATTAAAAAAATTTCTTTTAACCTATATACGGATATAGATATATATGAGAGAGAAAATATTTTAATGTTAGTCAAACTCCTAAGATTTAATAGTTTTTAATTTTTAGTTTTATTTCACTTCTAAGGGAAATGGATAGTATGGTAAAATTGACAAAAAACGGACTTCATAACAAATAAGTTTTCTTGACGGACTTAAATCCAAACAAGTCCATATAGGAGGATCGGCCTCTAAATTTTTCTATTTTAATTTCTAAGTTTTTAATATTATGGATTAGATTATATGTCCAAATTATTGTAATTAAAATTTTAATTGAATTTATTTTTTTGTAAGACTTAAAATTTAATAAATTTAATTTTTTTTGTAGGCTAATAATATACCTAAATTTATGAAACATTTTAAAAATTTGGGGCCTTACATATTTTTTCTTCTATATTGTTGGGCCGGCCCGGACGACTACACTCACCAAAACATCAAAAACCAATTATGAAAACCCAAAAAAATATCTCATTGAATCACGTGAACCTTTTTCCACCGCTCTTAAACACAGAGTTCACTTTGATTTTCAAATGGAATTCTCTTCGATCTTCAACCATATTAGACTTAGATGCTTACATGTTAAAAGTGAAAACTTATATCGAAATAAGACCTAAAAAGTGTATCCTTACCCAATTTTTTCTCTTGGGCCTACTGTCCGATTCTTTTGATTGGTCTTCAGAATGTGTGCTATTGAACCGGCCCATTCACACCCTTTTCATATTTGTTCCACGGAGTCTCACATGGTCCCACGCTCAATTTAATTAGTTCTGTGTTCACAGCTTGACCATTCAAATTTCAAATTTAGTATTTAATCAAGGTAATGGCGGCGTGAAAATACTAAATCCGATTCTATTTCCTTAAACAAAAGAGTAAATTGCATACTTGGTCCTTGCACTTTATTTTTTATTTTAATTTGGCCTTAAAATTTTCAATTATCTTAATTTAATCATGTAATTATCAATTTCATTTCAATTAAGTCATCTAGTCCATTTTTACCATTAGATCAGAACTTAATTGAGATACAATTGATAGTCGAGGGACTAAATGGGTACAGTTGAAAGTTAAGAGACTAAATTGAAATTAGAGGCAAAATTTTGAGTCTAATTATAATATTTACCCTAAACAAAAGAATACCACCACACGTCGTCGTATTGTTCATCCAGTCCCGTGCGACAGTAAAAACTTTGTTCCCTTTTTCAAAACCATTTCACTTCCTTCGTCTTTACTAAGATAGTCTGTAGAGAGAGAGCGGGGGAGAGAGACAGAGTGAGGGAGCTGTAGGAGAGAAAAGCATAAAGGCATAGAAAAAGCAGAGTACTTCTGGGGCTCCGCCGCTGGTAAAGTAAGATCAGTTCTAGTCCAAGAACACAAAAACGAAGTCACTCATCGATTTGAACGGAAAAGAGAGCCGAGATAGAGAGACAGAGAGGATCTAGGGTTTCTTGATTTCAAGTTGAAGGAATGGGGACTCCTCAATCGGAGCGACTAGCGATGATTCAGAGTCCAAGAACGCTTGGCTCTGGTAGGGTTTTGAGAACTCCACTCAGTGATGAAACCATGTGGAAGCGGCTTCGAGATGCAGGGTTTGACGAAGAGTCCATCAAACGGAGGGACAAAGCTGCTCTCATCGCTTATATTGCCAAAATCGAAGCTGAGGTAAGCCGAATTCGTATACTCGTATGTAATTTATGTTTCTTGATCTTTGGACTTGATCTATACGCACATGTGTACCTTGACAATTGGTTGGCTAATATGTTATAATCAGAGATGCTTATTATTCTTTTAATCTGAAAACGAGGTATAGCAAGGTCCAATAAGCCATTTAGTTGTCTCGGATGATATGAAAAACAAATATTGGAAAAAGAAGAACTTTTGGTCAATCTTGAATTGTGCATGGTATCATTCATTTATGGTAGATATGGTCTCATTGGTAGTTTTTCTTTTGTTATTTTATAATTGAAGAAGATAAAATAAGCGGGAAATGGGTTTTGTTTATTATGTGAATAGTCTACCATAAAATCATTTTGGAAAGTAATTGCGATGCTCTTATAATGCTTTACTGGATCAAGGCTTCAGGTTTCCTCATTTGGATAAGATTTATGTTTTTTTTTTGGATACGCTTTCATATCTTAGTTTGTGCCTCTGGGGTTTTAATTTCATGTAGATCTATGACCATCAACATCACATGGGCCTTCTGATTTTGGAAAGAAAAGATTGGGCTTCCAAGCATGAGCAACTCAAAGCCGCTGCTGAATCCGCCGAGTTAATGTATAAGCGCGAGCAGGCTGCACACTCTTCTGCTTTAGCTGAAGCAAAGAAACGGGAAGATAATTTGAAGAAGGCTCTAGGAATCGAGAAAGAATGTGTTGCCAATGTATGCTTACTGGAATTCATGTTGGTTCCTTTATGTTTTGTTTTATATTTGTATCTCATTTAGAATTTTTCTATAGATTGAGAAGGCATTGCATGAGATGCGGGCAGAATGTGCTGAGGCAAAGGTCGCAGCAGAGAGTAAATTGACCGAAACGCGAAGTATGATGGAGGATGCTCAGAAAAAATTCAGCGAGGCTGAAGCGAAGATGCATGCAGCTGAATCTTTGGAAGCAGAAGCAAGCCGCTGCCACTGTGCTGCTGAAAGGAAGCTCCATGAAGTTGAAGCGCGTGAAGATGACCTTAGGAGGAAGATAATTTCATTCAAGTCTGAGTATGTCTCTTACTAAATCTCTTTGCTAAATCAAATCACTCAACGCAGAGTGTTTTGTAATTGTGTTGACTTCATTAAATCATCCTGAGTGCTTTTGACTTTTATCATCATATGCCCGCTAGTTAGTATACATGTATTCGTCACTTTGTTCTGTCTGTTGTGCTACTCGTGCCACCATGTTGTGAGCCTGACTAAGAAAAAAACTATGTGTAATAGAAAATGAAACTTGAATCTTATTTAGCTGCATTTAAGGCATTTGAGAACTTTTGATGCTTTGTGTTAGAGCTGAAGGTTGATCAATTCTATGGTCAAAGTATCTACACATTCCCTTATTCTTGATTTTCTCTATTTGATCATATTTGTTGCTTTGGTTTTCTTTTGAATAATTCTCCATATGGAAATGCAGTAGGCCTGATGTGATCCTGAGAACTTTGTTTTGGTGATCTCATAGTTGTGATGCAAAAGAGAAAGAGATTCTTCTTGAGAGGCAATCTTTATCTGAAAGGCAAAAAACTCTGCAGCAATCACAAGAAAGATTACTAGATGGGCAAGCATTGCTAAATCAGAGGGAGGAACACATTTTCAATAGATCTCAGGAATTAGATCAGGTTGAGAAGGAGTTGGAGGCATCAAAAGCAAACATTGAGAAAAAATTTAGAGCCATAAATGAGATAAAAACAAATCTGGAGCTGGAGGCCACTTCATTATCAGCAAGAGAGGAGGTTCATATTCTCTCTCTCTTCCCATTTTTTCCTTGAAATACTTATTAACCGTGAATTTCTGAATTGATTTATATCAGTTTTATTTTGATTGCTTGCCAGGCTGTTATCAAAAGGGAATGTGAGCTGAGAAAGAAAGAGGAAGGACTGCTTATTCAACAGGAGAAACTTGCAAGCAAGGAGTCTGTGAGTCATTTTTTTATTTTCATTATTTGTTTCTTATATGCTAAATCCCAGTTGTGCGTAATCTGTCCTTGCATTGCATCAGTAATTTGTGATAATTGCAATTATACAAATATCTCAGGTTTTTCTTATTATTTGTATGATTCTCTTCTAATCCTGCTTATTGATGAATCATACAGAATGGAATTCAGCAAGTAATGGCTGATCATGAAGCTTCTTTGAAAATTAGGGAGTCTGAATTTGAAGCACAATTGGAAATTAAGCGCAAATTGGTGGAAGAGGAAATTGAGAACAGGAGGAGGGCTTGGGAGTTGAGGGAAGTGGATCTTAGTCAGAGAGAGGACTTAATATTGGAGAAAGAGTATGAGTTGGAGAATCAATCAAACACATTGGCAGACAAGGAGAAGGATTTAATGGAGAGATCGGATTTACTTGAGGGGAAAGAGAGAACTCTTGCTGCTGCAGAAAATGACGTGGAGGTGAAGAAAACCCTTTTGCTGAAAGAAAAAGAAGAGATCCTCAACATGAAGATTGACGTTCAAAAATCTTTGGATGTACTGGAAAACAAAAGGAAAGAAATTGATCATGCAGAAGAGAAAATAAAGGACATGAGAAAAGAAACAAACGAATTAATGGTTTTAGAAAAGAGACTTAAAGAAGAAATTGATATGATTAGAGCCCAAAACCTGGAACTGGAAATTGAGGCAGATAAGTTGAAGGCAGAGAAGGACAAGTTTGAAACTGAGTGGGAGTTGATTGATGAAAAGAGAGAAGAGTTACAAAAGGAAGCGGAGCGTGTTGCTGAGGAAAGGCTAGCAATTTCTAAGTTTCTGAAAGATGAGCGTGATAGCCTGAAATTGGAGAAGGATGCAATGCGGTATCAATATAAACATGATGTCGAGTCACTTTCTCGTGACCGGGAAGCCTTGATGAGCGAAATGGAGCGTGAGCGTTCCGAGTGGTTCAGCAAGATTCAGAAAGAACGTTCAGATGTGTTACTGGATATTGGGATGCAGAAAAGGGAGCTTGAGAACTGCACTGATAAGAGGCGTGAAGAAATAGAAAGCCATCTTAGGGATAGAGAGAGAGATTTTGAGGAAGAAAGGAAGAAAGAACTTCAACATATTGTGTCCCTTAGGGAAACAGTGGCAAAGGAGATGGAACAAGTTAACTTGGAAATGAAAAGACTTGACAGTGAGAGAATAGAGATCAATTTGGATCGTGAAAAAAGGGACAAAGAGTGGGCAGAGCTAAATAATTCTATAGAAGAACTTAAGGTGCAAAGGCAGAAATTGGAGAAACAAAGGGAATTGCTGCGTGCAGACAGAGAAGAGATTCTTGCTCAGATTGAGAAGTTGAATAAATTGGAGGATTTGAAAGTTGTCCCTGATCGTATTGTTGCACCTGAGATGAAACAAGGTGATCCACAGTCTGTTAAACGAAAGGCTTCTGCAAAAAGATTTTCGAAGCTCCAGGCTGAATTTAATTCAGGTCACAAAGAAGGTGATGATGTCATTAGACGTGAGTTGTCTCCTAAGAAAGGTTCACTTATCTCCTCTCCTCCGCTTGCAGTTCCTTTGTCATGGCTCAAACGATGTGCTGATACACTGCTGGAGCAAACACAAAGTACTAAGAAAAGAAGGCAACAAAAAGATGTTGTAGTGACACAATCAGAAGAGATCATGACCCCCTGGTAGCTTTATCTTCTTATACAATTAAACTCTTCATGTGTTTTGAATTAAGGGTTGTATTTATGTTGTTATGACACTATGCATTTTGTCAAGACCTTTTTTTTTTTTTGTGTCAATCTGCATTTCTAGAAGCTCATTCACTTCTTTATTTGTTTTTAGTACGTTATCAACACAATCAAATGCACCTGAGGATGAACCGGCAGCGATGTCATTGGATCAAACTCCAGGCAGTGCCCAGGAGACAACTGTATATGTTGATAAGATCATCACAGTCCGGGAAGTAACCTCAGTTCATGGTGGAAGAGTGACAGGGGACAATCAGGTAGTTTAAAATTTTGAAGTAGTCCATACCCTCCTATTTCACTTGCACAAGGAAGCAAATTATTTCATATTGGTTGTGGATGCTTTTTGGGAACTTTCTTATTTTGCTTTTGATATTGCGGTATAATGGATGAGTTTGTTTCAAGAGCACTGTATGACTCTCATGTTGGCCAAGATTACTTCGCTATATGGAAAGGGTGTTTTTGTGTTGCTTATGAAGAAAAATTGTTCTCTAATGCTTGTGCTAGCATCAATGTCAAGGGAGTTGAGGATTACTTGCCTTTTTTAATTTTGTGTTACTGCCTCAAGATTACACATACACTGGATAACATATTTGCTGTAAATTGCCTATATCCTCCTCTCACCCCCCAAAATTTTCCAAGGGTAGTGCCTTCTAATTTGATGTGTCTCCTGACAGAATCTGACGTCTCTTTGGTTTTGGTTCTGTGTCTAAACCTACCTACTTACTAGTGGTTGTATTTATCCTTACCTGATAAATAACTTCATCAGATATGGGTGGGATTGAATGTAATGACAGTGGGGCTTCATATTCAAAGCAAAAGGAAGAGAATATGGAAAACTATAATGCAAAAGTATAGTATGCTATGTAAATAAATTAGGACATGCTATTAGAGAAGAATATTTGGGTGGAGACTAGTGGAAATGGCTATGGATCATTTTGAAACTACTTAGACCGATGCAGATTTGTGAAATGTGATTTTTCCTCTTTTCTGGCTGTCAATCATTCTGGGGAACAATGGAGAATTTAGCTGAGAGGTTGCTTCTTCTCTGTGTAAAAATATGTTATTTTTTCAATATTTTCATATAGTTTGTAATCTTCCCTTTAAAATGATTCAATAATTCTGGATGTTCCAATTCTGCAGCTTCAGGAAGAAGATGTGTCCCAGGAGAGTGATGAGAAGCTTGGAAATAATGGCACTTTCAAACCTGATGAAAACGGGAAGATTGAGCAGAAAGTTTAAAAGACAAGGTCTAACCAGGAATTGTAAAAAAAATCTGCTTGCTTTATAAACACAAGTGTGGTTTGCTTGAAGATCGGCTAACATGAAGGTATCTTCATTTCTCGGCTTTGTAGTTCTATCAGGATAATCTTCGTAAAATCTAGTTCAATAACAAAATCTTCCCCTCACCGCAATGCAGAATAGCTGAAGCGAGCAACATAGACTTGCATTGGTTCTTTTGTTATGGCTGGTGACTCGTCTGACTGCAGCTCAAATATGTAAATGATATGGCTAGCTTTGATTTTTTTAGTGATAAGTAAATGTTTGGTGTTATATAGGCTTTATCTGGTTGGAGTGCTGTTTAGGAGTGTTTTTTTTTTCTTTTCATTGACACATGATGTGAGGTTTAGTACTATTTGTGAGATGGAGAACCTAATCTCTAGTCCTGGTTTGTGGGTTGTATGTTCTATATTTATGCAAAGTGGTAATTTTTACTGGCGAATTACGTCACCATACCATTGAAATGTTGGGTTGTGCTTAAGCAAACGTTTGAGGAAATGGAAATTTGTCTCATAGTCCATTGCCGGGGCTTTGTTTCTCCGAAACTGGAATGTATAACTTTATAAGGTGATAGCAATGTATTTGGACCATGAGGATGGATGGACGAGTGGGGTTGTAATGAATCATTTTGTTCCTGAACAATTATGTGTTTGATTGTACAAGAGTGAGATAGGGAGAGATATGGAAGTTCACGCCAATACTCTTGCGAGAATGGAGGTTCCTCCATTTCTCTTGCTTTTCTTAAACTCTAGTTTTAGGACTCCATTTTACGTAACAATCAGTATGTAGTAGTAAGGACTGAGTCTCTCTGGGACTTATACAAAAGTGAGATAGGAGACATTGAAGGTTGAGGGGGACTAAAATAGACAAATTATAATGAATTTAGGTGGTTAAATGTTGTTGAAGAGAAAGGGATATACATATACCTAACTGAGAAAAGATAAAAATACTATTTATATTGTATGTGAATTTAGGTGGTTATAATTTTTTTAATAATAATATTATTTAGATTTAATTAATTAATCTTATTATTAAATTGTCACTATGTTCCGTTCGGTATGAAGAAAAAATAGAAAGATGAAAAGTGGGAATGATGGAAAGTTGGAGGGATAAACAAAATATCATGTTTAGTAAGGAAAAAAAATAGGAAGGATGAAAAAATGGATGAACTAATTTTCCTTTCAACTCACCAAAATTAATCCCTCCAAAATCGGAAGGAAAGTGGATGAAAAATTAATTATTTGTGTTGAAATATATTTTACTTGTCTATATATTATGTATACATTAATTTCATATAAAAATACAATGATAAAATATGTATATATATATATATATATATATATATATATATAAAAAATAATTTTAAAAATTAAAAATTAAATTAAAAAAAATATTTTTTTCATGTAAACTAGGGATGAAAACTTTCGAGTCAACATGATAACACGACTTGAACTCGACACAAATTTTATAACACGATCTTGATTATAACTCGACATGAACTTAAAAATGACCTGACATGTGAATAAAAAATATAAAAGAATCATAATTGTATGGCTCAACGTGAATCTGATATGACACAACTGAATTATCACCCTTAATCTTAATGAACACGAAAAAAAATAAATAAAAAATAGTCATATTTATTTTTCATTCATTCAATCAAAAATAAAGGAAGAAAAATGCGTCATTCCTACTTTTTATCTTTGAAAAATAAAAAATGTATCTCTCTTATTTTGCATCGTTCTTTAAAATTGGCCGTCCAACTGCTATTAATTAATTCAATAATATTTTTTATTTTTAATAGGTGGGTGGTTCAAAGACGTCAACATTTTTACAGTTTAAGAAAGTTCAAAGTTGCCGGCAATTACCATACCCATGGTTCCAGTTCCCAATTTTAAGAATATTCAAAGTGGGGACAACGTTTTGGGGTGGGTTATTTTTTAACCTTAAATATTAATAAAGATTTTTTTCACTTTATATCCTAAAAAATTTATAGATATTTATTTTATACTTTTAAAAATTAAATTTTTTATATTATATTTTCAATATATCAAAAGTTTTATAATTTGATCTTTCTATTAGTTTTGCTGCTTTTTAGGTCAAAAAAACTAAATTATTGCCACGGACAAAAAAATTAACAAAAAATTAATCGAAAGATTATATTATAATATTTTTAATATATTAAGGGTTTAATATGTAAAATTTAATTTTTAAATTTACGAAGAGAGAAACATAGGGTACAAAGTGTAATTCTTCGTATTAAGTAATTTAGTGAAGCTACTAGCCAATTTGACCAAAACTAACAATCAAAATCAACCTAAAATTCTAACACACTCTCTCCCCGTCTCTCTGCGTTACTCTGGTCGGGGACGAAGCTATGGAGAGCGCCGCCGTGTTCGCTGGTCCTCATGCCACCCCGACTCACCTCTTCCTCCCGTCGCGTACCCGTTCGACGCTTCTCTCTCCTCTCTTCGCCGACAATTCACACTTTTCTCCTCCGTCTCTCAAGGTGTGATACCACTTTCGTCCTCTCCACTTTATTTTTCCCTTCATTACAATTCGTCCAATGGATTTACAAGATCAAGGCTTCGTATGAGTGTACCTGTATCCGATTTTATATAATTCGAGTGATATGATATCGTTTGCCTGCAGCTTCAGAAGCAGTCACTTTTCGCTTCTTCTTGTAATGATTGTAATCTTACCCCTGTTCGAGTGGCCTCACCCGCAAGGTACGTAATATCTTAATTTCTTAAGGTTTAATTTAAACTATTGCATGAAAATATGATTTTTTTTGGGGCCCAAGGAAGTTGAAATTTTGTGTAATACTGTAATAATTGTGTCAATAAAAATCATTAATTCCTCAAAACAGAGAAGAACATTTTGAATAAAATTATGTATATTGAGAATTTCACTTCCAGTACGTGACATGAAACTTTGTTTCTTGGATATACAATTTTATGAATATCAAATTATCGAAATTGCCCAATCATGTTGTTTACTTGTTTTGCTTTGTTCACATAAATCTACTAAATTTCGCTCATTGATTGCTGGTGTGGCGAAATCTCATTTACTTCGCTTGGTTCATTGTAGTAAGTAGTAACCACTTTGTGGCTTGTCTTGATCTCGCGTCATTAATTCCCTTTTTCCCCCCCTTACTTTCTGGGGGTAAGGTTGGCCAGCAACTTGATTGTTGGGAGGGGAATTTATGGGTCTAATCCCTTTATGTGCCAGATTTAAAAGTGAAATTCTTGCCTGTTGACACTCCATTTAGTTGGATACGGAGGAAACAAGATTTAAAAGGAAAAGGTGAAGTAAAGAGGAAATTTTCTCTCCTAACAAATTAAGGAATGCTGAATACAGTTTCCATGGCAATTATGGCAGAGGAAAAGTTCATGAACCAAAAGGAGCGTAAGTACATTGTAAAACATAATATACTGAATTTGCCTTAGAATCATCTCAGAATTTTGTTTGTGTGTTGGTGCAACCAACAAAGTTGCTCAATATTGGGCTTCATGAACAGATATCCGAAGAATCTGTTTTGGGAAAACATTATTCACTGGTAAAGTGATGCAGTAACTGTCTAATTTGTCATGGGCTTCGCCCTATCGTATGGATTCTTTACAAGGAAAAAATTTACCGCATAGACCTAGTTGCTCAGGTTGAATTTGGTGACTTTCAACCACCCCTTTTAAGGATAGCCTTGGTGCACATCAGTTTCTGGTTTTCTTTCTCTGTACATGTAATTGTTTGTGTTTGCCAGTTCTATTTGGATCAGATGGGTGCAAGCAATTGGGCACCAAGGTAGTGATAAATTCTTCAACGCCCATCGACCGCTACTGTTTTCAAGCCATAGTAGTTCTCTTTTTCCCAAGTTCTTGTTTTTTTTCCATTTTTTTAAAAAATAAAATTGCACGAGACACTACATTTGAAGTGTTTGCATGCTGGTAAGCTAGTTTCCTATTGACATTAGTCCTATTACAGCAATGCAACAGTGGAATTGGCCGACATTGATTGGGACAACCTTGGATTTGGACTTAATCCTGCTGATTATATGTTTATCATGAAATGTTCTCAAGATGAAAATTTTTCTAAAGGCAAATTACAGCGTTTTGGAAACATTGAATTGAGCCCATCAGCTGGGGTCTTGAATTATGGGCAGGTTAGTCCTTTAAAGCTTTATCTTGTTCTCAAGTGTGATTTTTTCTTTCTATTTTTTTTTTTTTGGCTGAATACTATAATATGTTCTCCTGGTATACACATTGCCTTCTGCATGTTCTTCACTTTCTCATTTTATTTTTCGTAGAAGCTCATATTGCTTTCGCTGTTGGTTCTTAGGACTGCGGTGATTACAATGTATGTTTCTATTATTTGGTCAAGGGTTTGCCAACTCTTTAGAAATTCATTGCATAATTGCTTTCCCCACTTATCCCCTTGCTATTCTCTGAAATCATTATTCTGAATCATAATGGAGAGCTACTTGGTTTACCTTATGATAGGATTCTTTATAATATCAGAAGTTAGTGATACCTCATTAAATTCGTCTTCTTGGACTTGGATCAGAGCTTATTTTGGTTGTTTAAGTTTCTTTTGCTGTAAGTGGAATATATATTCTTCTTCTGTATTTGTGTGTAGGGATTATTTGAAGGTTTGAAAGCGTACCGGAAACATGATGGAAAAATTTTACTGTTTCGTCCTGAAGAAAACGCATTGCGGTTGAGGACAGGTGCAGAGCGTATGTGCATGCCTTCACCAACTGTTGAACAGTTTGTAGAAGCTGTTAAGGTCACTGTTTTAGCAAATAGAAGATGGGTAATGTGGCACTTCAATTTGACTATGTGAGATCTTTTGCTAGCTAGTGATAGGTGTTAAGTTAGTGAATCCTTCGATTTAATACCTTGTTTCAGGTACCCCCTCCAGGAAAAGGCTCCTTATATATTAGGCCTTTGCTTATGGGGAGTGGAGCTGTCCTTGGTCTTGCACCAGCTCCTGAGTACACGTTTGTGATTTATGTTTCTCCTGTTGGTAACTATTTCAAGGTTGGTTGTTTATCCTCTTTGCATGCCTCTTGCAACCAAGTGTAGGTTTTTTTTTGAAGGTACCAAATGTAGGTTACCATTTCAAGTTGTGCTATTTTTTAACCCTCTTGTTCTTTAAACAAGATTCTATTATCTCCTCTCACATGCTTAGTGAATTCTGTGTTGTTAGTTTGCCCGGAAATGCCATGTTTTAATGTATTGATGATGTTATGTCTGCTTCTTGGTTAATTGTTTTTTCTGACACTTCTCGATATGTACTTTTCAGTATCTACTCGTTTTTGGGTTGCTACAATATCTGGTATTTGAAACGTCCAGATCATAGTTGTCAAATCGTGTATCGGAAGATGTATTATTTTCCAAAAAATAGCGTATTGTATTGCAATTTTAAATAATTATATATATATATATATATATATATTTTGCAAAAAAATTCATAAACTCATAATAATATAGTATTTCATTAATATTCCACTAATTATTTAAGTTTTCAATATAGTTCACTAATTTCAAAATACAAAGATCACTAATTCAAACTTTGAAGGGGTTTTTGTTGTGTGATGGACTAGAGAGGGGCATCTTCTGATTCGTAGATCAAGAGGGGCAAATGTTGTTTCAGGTCTTCATTGATTGGAAGAAATGAAGAAGTTTTATTTTTTAAGCCCTAGCCCGTGAAACGATGTCGTTTCATTGACTAGAGCTTAAAAAATAACATCTAATGTGAAACGACATTGTTTCAGCGTAAAAAAAAAATTTTTTGCAAGAGGATACGTATCGTACGAGAAAGTGCAAAAATGATACAGAAGCACGATTCGTATCGTTTTTCTTGTATGTCGCCGTATATCGTACGATACATATTGTGTATCATACATTACTGATAACGATGGTCCAGATGCATTAGTTATATAATCACAAAAATTGTTTAAGTGAAATGTGTAGGCTTGTTTTGGGGAACCTTCTAAATTCACCAGATTTTGTCATATATTATATTTCTGGGATTCTACCAAATTCTGGATTTGGAGGGTCGTGTTCTTTGGTGCAGTGTTGTTTAAGGTTTTTTGGCTATGAGTCCACTAATCTGAGCACGGATAGGTTGGTGCACATGTGGCATGTTTATGTCTATATATAGATAGCAATGTAGTAGCATTTAAAGCTCTCCAAATCCCCATCCCAATTTTCCTCTTTTTTTTTTTGATTTTATGATTTTTTAAAACTTAGGTGGCTTATCTCAATTGGTTGCTTTCCTAATCTTATGCACAATAAAATGAAAAATACTAGATAAAGACCATTTTTAACTTCCCCTTAAAGCTTCCCACTCCCCACTCACGTTTCTCCCCCTCTGTAAGCTGTCCTCTTATGTCTCTCTCCAAGTCATACACGGCTCTCTTCTTGTCTCCTTCAGCTTCTCTTATTCCACCTTTCTATCTTAGAAGTCCATCTTTGTATCTTTATTCTCAATGGCTGTTATTCCTAATGATGAGGACACAATTTGTTTTTTAAAGTTTAGTTAGAACCAAGCTCTGCAACGCAAGAAAGTGATGTCCCTGCTTGGTTTGAATGGTGGTTTTTTAGTTCTGGCATATATACTGGAAGCTGATGCAACCTAAATTGCAAATTTGTCTAGGGAAACAATTGAAAATTAAAGTATGTTTTGTTCTTTTTCATTTTAGTTTTCTTTTAGGAATTCAAAATTAATAGTTCACTTTTACTTTTGAACATGTCCCGATATGTGGAGTCTATATGTAGCCCTCATGTCCTGAGCCCTCTTTTTTTTCTTATATTTGATGTTTTGGGACATATAGATGGAGGATGACGAAGAAGAGAGCCCATAATTCCTCTCATTTTCCGTACTGACTTATTAGATGCTAGAGAATCAAGACATAAACCCTATGCCGTTGAAATTTGGGCTGGCTTTTAGTTTTTCATCTATTTTTTTATACTTTTTCTAGACTTGATTGTATGATGTGAATAAAGTGTTCCAGCTTTATTGACAATTAGTTCACTACTCTGACCACAGATTGGTTGGTGCACATGTGACATATGTATGTAGAAAACAGAGATGGGGAGCCAATGAAAATTCCCATAAATCTATAATGGATGATATCAAAAAAGGTCTATAAAAGGGAGACTTCATTGTATACATGTTCGCGTATGTGTGCATAATATAACACCCCAATGAGAGCTAATTCTGATATTAAATGCCAACGACACGTTAGTCATGACCTTCCCTTAGTTTTGGGATGCGAACCCTTACGGAAGGGGGTTAAATGCCAAAATACTTAAACCCACTGGGGACATCCTGTCAGGTTTTTAATTCAATGCATGAAGTGGTAAAAGGTGATTGATGGAGGAATTACTTGTAATTTACCTTTATTTAATTGACACATTAAAAAATACTGAGGGTATATTCATCTCATTGTGTGCTGCATATGTTTGTATTGGAGTGTAAACACAAATTTATTGCTAAAGATCAGTTTTAAAATCTTCCTAAATTCTCTGGCCTCTCAAATTTTGTGAGTAAGTTCCAATATCTCTCACTACATGAGAAATCTTAAACTAATCCCGCATATGTTAGTATTTTGCAAATTTCTCTTGAACATCTTAAATATCGTGAATTATTCCTGTTTCTATTAAAATTCTTGTATATTCGACTAACTCTAGAAAATACCTTGTGTTTTTCTTATTTTTAAATCATAAAATTTCTCGTAATAAAATTTACCAGATAATTGTCGATATTGTCCCACTTTACTCTTGTGGATTGCATGTTATGTCCAGTCATTTATGGAATTTCACATGTCTGGATAAAAAACGAAATCACAAACTTGTCGTTATGCATATAAATATATCCTCTTGAGGTAAAGGCATGCATATAAATTCAACTTGATTGCTAGTTTCTTTTTCATTTTTCCAATTACTTGTTCAAACATAATCTATGAAGTTAAATGTCATCAAGAATAAAAAAAAAATGATGGATATTCCTTTCCATTTAGTTATTTATCTTATTTTTCATGAGAAACAACTTAATGGGGCTTGTAAACCACGATCCTTCATTACCCACACTTCTATATGACATTGACCGTGGGGAACAAATCCAATTGATCTGGATTTTGGCTGTAGTTGTGTTAATTTTTAGGAGTTAATTTCAATTAACAGTCGTTGGCTCCCCCTGTTTTCAGTTTTTGTAATCATGGCTGATTTCTGGAATGCTCACAGATTAATTCCATTGGGTTCTTCCTTTGGCATTTCTTGTCTTTAATTATTTTCATTCAATTCGTTTTGGCACATTTGTTGCTCAGATTCATTTAATGATTTTGTTATGCAATGCAGGAAGGTTTGGCACCGATTAATTTGGTTGTTGAGACTGAAACTCATAGAGCAACCCCTGGTGGTACTGGAGGTGTAAAGACCATCGGAAACTATGCTGCGGTCAGTTAGTCTTCCATGCTTGTTTGTTGAGATTCCATTATGTCAGTGTGCATCTCAAATTCTCTTGCCAATGCCCTTGAACTAATTTGATAATCTTCTGGTTGATTGTACCCCTGGGCTTCAGAACGATAATTAACAACTAACAAGTGTTCTTTAGTTTTCCATGCCGTCTAATTGTTGTTCCTAGTCCATTTTCTTGATACATTTTATTTGATTCAAAAAAACCTACTACCATTTTGCTGTTGTGTCTTTTTTCTTTTTCAAGTCTTTTGAAAGTAAGTTCTTCTCTGCGTTTTAACTTTTAATAGTTCTAGCAGAATATAAGGCTTTAAACTTCAAAATTCCTGCACTTTTACACAGTGGGTTTTCAATCTCTTAGTATTAAGCACTGTAAGCATTCCTTGCTACTAAATTGTTTGATGTCTTGTGTTACAAAATGATAAATTTCCAGCGGGGTGGGCTTATTTTGCATCCTGATTACAACCTGTGATTGGTTTTTGTACCACATTTTGCTCTCTCATAATTAATAAAGTCGTTTCTTATCGAAAAATATAGATATATTGTATCCTGATTACTGATAAGAGACATCAAACATTGTGAAAGGATTCATTCTTATCTCAATGTCAAGAAGATCATTCTTATGATCAGACTCTGAAACCTGAATTATCTTGTGGATTTGCTAATATTTTTTTGTTTTCATTTTTCTGATAATGATTTATAGGTTCTAAAGGCACAATCTATTGCAAAAGCTAAAGGCTATTCTGATGTTCTCTACCTTGATAGTATTCACAAAAGATATTTGGAAGAGGTTTCCTCTTGTAATGTGTTCGTCGTGAAGGTATCTACTTGTTACATCAGCTGACATCCAGCGCATGTATTCCAGTTTTTAAAGCTGTCACATTTTAGGGATTTGTTTTGGTCAAAAGACAGTCCATATTCCATAATATCAATATTGTTTTTTTTTACAAATTGTCCACCTAATGTCATGGTTCACTCCTTCTTTGTCTAATTTTTCTTTGCATTTTTTGCTGTTTAGTATGGCAAGAAAAACATTAAGTTGTGACTCTGTTGCCCATTGAATCAACCTCATGGCCATAAATGGTATTTTGGAGCATGTTGATTATATGTAATATGCATGCTGTATTATTATGATTGTGTTTAGTGCTGTATTTATAATTATATCTGATGAAATTTATTGACACGAGTTTGTGTAATCCTCTTAAAAAGCTTAGTACATGGTTTGCTTAGGTCGTTGAAAAGGCTATACACTTTCTGGAAAGGTCGTCCTATAAGTCATAGTGTTAGTTCTAGCCAAATATTCTATAATTGACATGCTTCTAGTTGTTCCTTGTCCCTCTTAAGAGTCTGTCCAACGTACGGATTGGTGAAATTGGGGCCAATGATTTAGACCTAAGACCCTGACCTATATGCCTGGTGTTGCAGAGCAAGCCTTGAAGTAAATGTAGAATTCCACCGAATAAGAAACTTAGATTTAAGTGGATATGTAGAAATCCAGGTGAAGTAGTCAATGATAAAGAGGCCCCTGATCATTCAAAGAAATACATTACTCCATCAGATCAAACAGGAGGCAGATGTTGATCACGTTCTTGTTGATAAGAAGCAGAAAGTTTCCAGCGAAAAGGGATCAAAATCATCTTTGTTGGAATTTCTTTTCACCCAGCACCAACCAGGGCTGCATCAAAATACTGTCACCCTTTTCATGGTTGTATGATAAATGCATTCCATCTCCCATGAGAGGTTTGCTCTAGAATGCGGATTGGCCTCTTTTGGGCTTCGACCATGCATGTGTGTTAGTATCCAGTACTCTGTATATGAATGTGGTCTGACAAATTCAATCGGTGATCATTCGGTAAGAGAGTTATTTTTTATACTTAGATTGATCAGGAAGGTAGTTTTGTAATGCCATAATTAGCTCATATTGATTGCATAGCTGATTGTGCACATAATTGTTTGGGTTTGAATTTTCAACGATGTATAAGACAAGATTTACAATGTCCTATTTTCTTTTCACTTTGATTATATATTGACTCTATAATTTCAAACTTTTGGGGCTGGTTATACTTTGATTTTTACGGATTTGATAATTGTGAGATTGTTGCCTTACCTCCTTTATTGCCTCTGGTGCTTCTTGTTTACTGATATGGAGCATTTTATCATTAAAGGCAGTGATGTCTTATGTGGTTTCAATTGCTATGCTCAACTAGGGAAATGTTATATCTACTCCTGCCATAAAGGGGACCATCCTGCCTGGCATTACACGAAAGAGTATAATCGATGTTGCTTCCAGCCAAGGATTCCAGGTATTTACGGTCAGCCATGGTTCTACAAAATATTTATGGGGTAATATCAAAGAAATGAAGTTTAGATAATTGATAGTAGACTTGTCACTATTCATCTTCTTTGTTTCTTCTCAAAATTGATGTTGGGTGTTATTTATTAATTGTGAAAATATAAAATGTGGAGCCAACTAACAAATATGAAATATGAAGGGGTACAAATCATAGGCCTGCTTGTACAATTCTTGCAGACCAAGTCAATTTCTCAAATTTGCTTTGTTGTTCTGATATACGCCTCCCACTGCACCTTATTTTTAGAATATTGGCTAGCTATCTGTGAAAAAATGAAGAGAAAATCAACTGAAATGATGGAACACGTGGATAAACTACCACATTCTTATAAAAACAATGGATAAATTACCATGTGAATGAGGAAGAGGGTCCTGGTCTTTGTTGAAGGTAATGCGTTTGAAGTTAATTTGTTGATCTAAAGATTGATATGAATTGAGTGCTTAAAAAAATTAAAGATAGATGGTAAAGAAAGACTTGATAGCTTGTGGTTGAACTTAGGATACGACATGCAGCAGGATAGCAAAACAGGATCCACATGCTGATCTCAAATAGTTGGGATAAGGCTTAATTGTGTTGAGTTGAGATTTTTGATTATCTCTTGTTGTTTACCCCTCACAGCACCCCACTAGTATCGTGTCATATATCCTCTTGTGAAATTATGTAAGTAGAATTCATCAGATGGGATGACATGTTGATTTCAAAATTGAGGCACGTATGTGTCCATATCAGTAACAACTTCTGGGTTTGTACAATTCCACACATGCACACCTCATGTTTTGGCAGTGGCTTCGCTTTTCTATTAAATGTATCTCTGTAACTGTACTCACTCGTAATGATTGTTATTGTTTATTCCTCATCTATTTGACTGAGAACATTTTGGAGGTTAATTTCTGTGGTTTAGAACTGTGGGGTTCTTCAATTGATCTAATACTTAGAATCATTGATGTACCCCACCCCTCTTTTCCTCCTAACCCGAGGTCTTAATGTTGTTAGCTTATCTTCATTACTCAAGTGTGCAATTGGTTCAATTTTCAAATCACTTCATTATTTCCCCAAACCCTGACATGTCAATGTGAAGGTTGAGGAGCGACTGGTAACCGTGGATGAATTGCTTGCTGCCGATGAAGTTTTTTGCACGGGAACAGCAGTGGTTGTATCTCCTGTTGGCAGCATAACTTATCTTGGTAAAAGGTGAAGTTCATATTCTGGAACCTTGATTCTATTACTTTTGCCTCATCTTTTTTTAATTTTTGTATTGTTTTTTTTGGGGCCGGGCTCAGAGATGTAATCAAAAGAAAACATGTAACCTTACCTTGACATTACAAAGAAAGTCTCATAATCCCAGTTATTTCTTAATCACCATTAGGGCCAGAGATGTGAATCCATGCAGGACTTTGAGGGCTGCTTCAATATTTTGTCCGACTATTTCTAGCACCTAGCAATATTTTTTCTCTTCTCTACACTCTGTTATCTTATGTGAAGCATAACGAGACTGGAACTTAGTATGTAGTAATTTCTTATATGATGCTGAATGCACAACTGAAGAAAAGCAAGTATGTGGGTCGGTTGGTTGAACACGTCTCTCTAGGTGTCTTTACTAATGGCATATCCAAAGCTGTATTTTGTTCTCTGTTTTTTGGCATTTTTGGATAAATGTAAAATGAACTGGCCTCTGAAAATCACCTACCTTGATTCCCTTACTAGCTTTCAAATGGCGGTTGTCTTAGGAGACACCTAGAACAATGCAGCAAGATATAAACAGTATAGGAATAATTGTTTGGCTAGCTTGTTCCTCTGGTGTAATCTTTGTAAACCACAGGCAGGAGAAACATAGGCTGTCAAACTTTGCCAAGATAGTTCAATACTCAATGCTTTATTAGATGTTTATAAGGCATTAACCTGTTTCTTAATCTCATTTTAGGCATTTAGGCTTGTATCAAGGTGTAGGCAAGCCGCCAAGAAAACTTGGTTAATTTGTATTTTAAACAGTGCATGGCCCATAACTATGCCTTGAGTGATACATCATGAACGTATCACAATGTCTTATCTAGGAAGGCTTCCAATACGGATTTGGGACAAGATTCAGTAATCAATATACGAGGACAAATAGTTGTTTGCAAGGGTCTTGTTTGAGTAAGATATGATTTGCAATATATGTAGTTGAACTCAAGCTGTCTGTTAACTTCAAAATTTGGACCTGGAAACCAAGTAACCACAACCCAAGTGGGTCTCTGTGGTGCCTTTACAACACTCAATCAAATAACACTAGTGTTTATTGCCTCTTTTGTGCAGGGTATCTTATGGAAGTGACGGGGTTGGCCACGTGTCTCAACAATTGTATTCTGCACTTACTAGTCTACAGATGGGTCTTACAGAGGACAAAATGGGTTGGACCGTGGAGCTGACGTAGGCTTTCAAAGTAATTGGTCCTGGTTTGCATTTTTTACTTTGTGAAGAGCTCATTTTCTGCATGTTTTAGAGATTCCATTTACTTTTCTCAATGATTTGTAGACAGTTTGTCATGATAATGTATGTACACATTTATGTTGTTCAAACACGGCTAAGCTGAAATGCCCTAAAATTCATCCTAAAAAATATTACTATCTATAACCATTCAAATCATGAGAACAACTAATAAAATTCATAAATTAAAGAAATTTTATTCATTATCCATACTAAAGCATCATCCAAAATTAATAAGTTAAATTATGACAATTACATCCAAAAATTAAATAATTATCTTGCAGCAGAATAAATAAAATATTATCCTTAACATTGTCTCGTAATTAGCCTCATAGTCTAGAACATAAAAGACTTAACTCTAAACGTCTATCTTGGGATTCATATTCCCATCAATTTGGGCTTCCCAATTTAACTGTTCATCTAATCCGATCTCTTCTTTTAAATCGTAATTTGAAAAAAATGTTATTTGTAAGGGGTGATTACTAAACTCTATAGAAAATTCTCTCAAACTCGAACAAGATTTTAAAAACATATAAAACAAGTTGGTCTTATTTTACAAAATATCATATATATAATTTTTGAAATAAAACAATGATAGTTTATTAGATCTTAAATTTACGTAGTAACAATAAATTAAATAAAATAAAACCAACGTTACCAAGTTTTTATCCATCCAAGCTTTTCATTACCAACATTGTATCTCAGGTACGTAGTAAGACTGAGCATGAATACACACATTGAGAATATTTTGGCTCACACACACACACAACCAATCCTCGCAAAGATACACAACTTTAGGAAGGGCATATACCGATGCATTGATAGTGACGAATCCAATCCAAGAATAGTATACTAACCCTCAGCTTTGATACCCGTGAGTGAATAGTGGTTTGATCCTCGCAAGACACCAACCCTACTACGAGTGGTAAGGAACCTTCAAACTCACTCGGAGTAAGAAACACATTTACCCACTCTATGATACTCGGTCAACAGTCACCCATGTTCATCAAAACATCCACACAAGAGATACAATACCGAACTAATTCACCAAATCACAGGTAAACCAAGAACCATAATTTCACAAGTATTTTTTCAATAGAACAACTCAAGAAAATATATAAGAGATTATCAAACAATATAATTTTATTGTTCAAACAAAACACTAGAGTTTTAAATCAAGAACATTGGAATATCAAGGGTAAAAACTATATTTCTTGAAAACTAGAGTTTTGATATCAAGAATGATAGTTTTTATGGCTATTAAACGATAACCTCATTCAAGACATAATACGATTCAAGACATAATACGATTTGCAAGAAAACCAAGAAACAATAATTTCTTAATATATACATGTGATTTATAATCAAAACATACATATATATTAATCCTACCCTCAATAAACAAGTTTAGGAAGAAACCTCTACCTTGATTCTTGAGATTTTGATCGTAACGTGTTTCGTTGCGATTACTCCGTGTTAATCCTTCAAGATTTAGCCCGTTCTTCCTCTTTTTCTTCTCCTCAACTTTCCCAGGATTCTTGGGATTGAAAATTAGGTATGTCAAAATCCTTTTCACCTAATCCTATCCAAAATAAGTTTTAACTCTAGAATACTTCTAATACAACTCATATAACCTCTTCTATTATTTTTCGACATTCCGGATTCAATAGAAATCCTATTTTGATCTAAAAATATTTATAAAATTACTTAGTCACCCTTCTCAAATTTAAACATATCTAAAACTCAATTTATTCCAAAAGTTAAATACGCTTGAAACTTAAATCTCAAGCGTTAATTTTATTAAGGTAATATTAAATTTCAAGCGTTAATTTCAATACGTTAAATATTTTAAGAATTAAACTAAGTTTTTATCATTATTTTATTCGTCTTAGGAGAAGGTAATATTATATTTATTTAATTTTAATACGGAATCTTACATAAGCAATGTGCTCTAGAACTGTCATTTAATATCGTTCGTTGTCTTCGGACAAACCATTCTTGTGCTCAAAGTCATAGAACCGTGAAGACAGTCCATTTCCCTGTCCAACAACCATATGCATGGACCTTTGTTTTTTGATAAATTTTAAATAATGATTGGAATCGTTTGGTCTGTAAGACTTATATTAAGAGATTTGCACTTAATTTGTATAATTTGCAATAATCTCCTTGGTGAAGGCAAGCGCAGAGCCAGAATTTCTTCAAAGCGGAGTCAACCATTGGATTAGAGAGAACAATTAAATAACAATCATCAAAATTTTTGCCGTTTGTGAACAAATGGTGAGTAGGCCTAATAGTTGGATTTGGATCGAATTTCAAGTGATTTGAACTCAATCTGAAAATTCAAATCCAAATTGAATTTGAAAACTCTTTTTTGAATTTGATTTGATTATCTAATGAATTTTTTTTTACACTATATATCTATGTAAGTTAAATATTAAAAATTGGATCAAATCTGTGAGTCAACTCAAATTGAATTTTATTACATCTTAATTTTGATTTAATTTCATCGAATAACAATAAATTTCATACCTGTCTATGCATTTATAAATACGTAAAGTGGATAAAATTATAATCAAATCAAATTTTAGTATGTTCGAATTTAAATTCGTGAAATATTATATAAATGATTCAAACTCAAATAATTGGTCAAAAATATTAATTCGTTATGAGCAATCAAAATTTAAAATTGAATCAAATTCAAGTTAAACTTTCATTTGTTGGCAAGCTTAAGTTTTTGAATGTATGAAAGAATCTCACTTAATTTTTAGAATATAAAACTACTCCCCAAGTTTATAAATTTCTCGATGGGGATAAATTTTTCTAAATTTATAAATATCTAAAAATTATAAATAGGCCCCAAAACTTTTGGCATTGCAGTGGAGACAACTGTCCCCATTGCCCTCACCATCCCGATGCCCCTGTGAAAGATTGCACCAGGGAACATAAATGAAGATTTAATGGGGGAGGAAATCACTCATGTCTCTTAAAGGGTTTGTTTACTTTAGGCATTTAGAAAGAAAGATTAAAGAAAACAATGATCGGTCCGTCTTATTTCTCTTATACCTATGTTTGAGTATATATTATATTTAATATCACATACAATCTCTTAAATAAATTCATATTTTTTGTGGATTTAAATAATTTGGTTGGAATATATTTTGGTAAAACATATTTTTACTCTTAAGAATTTCTAAAATATAAATATAACTCATTTTCTTGAAGATTCTTTAATAATTTAATATTTATATCATTATTTAATATTTCATCCAAATAAAATACTGAATGAAATAAATATCAGGCCTATTACTTTTTAATACTTGAATCAAATATAAGATAAAGAAGTATTATTACTATAATTAATTCAAGTGACGGATGAATAAATCAAATATACCCTAAATTAATTACTCATGAATACGGGATTCTGTAACAAATGGGTTGACCGCCATCTCAACATTTTTCATCAGTCTTGTACGAGGCAAAACCTATATGAGAGAGAGAGAGAGAGAGATAAGTTCACCATGGATGAACAAAAAAAGAACCAAAAAAATAAAAAGCAAAGAAGAAAAACTCTCTTTTCGCAATATCCTTAATTTTTTTTTTGCTCTTAAAAAAAGGGTAAGAGCGCGAAAGAGAGCGCCACCATCTCGATAGATTCTTACTGATGGGATCATGAGACTTATGCTCCGTTTGGTAAGAATTATGGAAAGTATGAGGGATACAATTTCTATCGTTCAAGGATAAAAAGTAGTAATGATACACTTTTCTTTCTTTATATTTGGTTGAATGAATGAAAAATAATTTTTTTTTTTTTTTTGTGTTGACTAAGATTACAGGTGACAATCGAGTCGTGTCGTGTCAAATTCATGTTTAAGTCATAAAATTATGAGCCTTTTATATTTGTTGTTCGAGTGTTAGGTCATTTTCAAGATCATGTCGAGTTATAATCAAATTCAAGTCATCGTGTTGAGTCGAAAATTTTCACTTCTATTTAAGATGAAAAAATATTTTTTTAATTTAAAACTTTTATTTTTATTTTTATATTTTTATTTTATTTTTTTTAAAACTATATATACATATTTTATCATTGTATTTTTATATAAAATTAATATATACATAATATATAGACAAATAAGATACATTTCAACACAAATAATTAACTTTTCATCCATTTTTTTTCCGATTTTGGAGGGATTAATTTTAGTAAGTTGGAAGGAAAGTTAATTCATCCACTTTTTCATTCTTCCTATTTTTCATCCTTACCAAACATGATATTTTATTTATTGCTCCAACTTTCTATTTTTTTATTTTTCCATCATACCAAATAGAGCATTATGATCACATCCATTATTTCTCTTGAGAATGAATCTAACTAGAGTAATATAACGATTAACTATTAAGTCTTAACGTGAATTTTAAAACTCAAATATTCAACATCAAACTAAAAAATTTGGTCGGTACCCGGTGGATTCTACGTGAAAACTCTTAAGACGACAATAACCTATGTCAGATGGTGATTCTACATGAAAACTCTTGAGACAACAGTAATCTATGTTAGATGGTGAATGGAGCCCACTTTAAGGTTAAAACTTGGTGTTATGGCGAGTGGGACATGGTTTTAAATGTGAGACAAGGTGTCATGGTCATTTGGCCATCTTTGTCTTCATCAATGCTGGCATCAGGGAGGGGAGGCCATACCAGGTTGCCCTTTCAATCAAGCACGAGGGAAAACCCTAATTTCCAACCCCTTCGCAGGCATTCAGAGGTTTTGGCAGGTGTTCTCTGTTCCTTAGCATGTGCATGTTCATGTGAAACCCACATGCCACCCCATACCACTCAATCGAAACTGTCATCTCCTGCCTTCAACTGAAAAACCAACTCTCAGTATTTTGGTCAAAGATTAGCTAGCTGCACATGATGATGATGTAAATAATCAAAGCTGGTCAAGGC